CATCTAAATCGCGAGGAAGCCTAGTTCATGGTTGTGTGCAGGTCAGGTTCTTGCTGCGGGCTTGCAACTTTAAGACGTAGACCGTATGGTTGAGAGCATAGGACCCTGGGTTTATGGCCAGATTCTGAATTGAGGGCTCAAGCTGACCTGCGACCTGTAGAATCCCTAGTCCCTAAGTTGTAGAGCCTCCTATGATGGAGAAGCTTACGACACAGCACCGCAAGAGCCAGAAGACGCCTTCGCAGGGTTGAAAGACTTCACGGTGCCTGTCTGTCGGGGCTAATGGCTAAATTGAATCTGGGGAAGGCTACTTTTGCTTACGCGGCTTTGAGGGAATCTGGAAGGGTGACGTTGTAATCCGGGTTTCCACAACGATTTCTGCTGCCCTGTGTTTGCGGAGGAGTTCTTTGTTACGGGGTTCAGCTTTAACAATTCCGGGACTATGCAAGCGTGTTGGGCATAGGCGTTGTTCGGGTCGAGGTTCCGGCGAAAGGTAAGCTTGAGGGCTAGCGACTCCGGATTGCGAATGAAGATACGGGAGACATGTTTAACCTAGCGCAGCAGTAAAATAGTAAGTAAGGGCTGTGTCAATGACAGTTTCTGTTTCAGCGCCTGGTCGCAGCACAAATCCTGATCATGGTGAAAGCGTGGAGCAACGACTGAATCAGCAGTAAGAGTCGCAATGCCAATGGCATCGGCTAGGGCCGTAAGAAACGGGTTTAGACTGAATCACGCTTAGCTGAGGGCAGAAGGCCTCGGAACCATGGGGATAAGTGGGCATTACTTCTTGAGAGTTTGGGTAAAGTGGGCCACCTGGTTCTCGAAAAAACTCCGAGGTCTATCAAGGCGGGCATGTTCCAAACTAGGCGACTAGTCTCACAGACAGGACTTGAGCACATTCAGCTGGACTGGCAAGATTGACCCAGATATGTGCCGACAGCTTGGGCAATCGACCAGCAACACACATGCCAGCGCCCCACCTGTGGACGGCATGATCTGTGGCAGGTATGGCCGACTCGCCTAATTTCACGCCAATTATGCTTGACTGCTTGTCGTGGCTCAAGGTGCAATGAAGGCTCACACGGTGGTTACGCTAATCGGACGATGTTTTCTCGGTGCGATGCACTTCCCAGATCTATTTCTGACTTAGTGTCTACCACTGCCGCAGGCTACGCACATGGGCTGATCTCCTGGGATTCGGGGCGAACCAGGGGCTGTTTGGGTAGCTGGCAAAGGCATTATGGAATCTGGAAATATGAACTGCAATATATGACTTTCCGCACTGCACTTCGAACCCTACTTGCTCAATCCTTCGATGCTGCAACTTTCATACTATCTGCGGAGTCTTGGACCAGCTGCCAGCGCGAAGATTTTCTGCTCTGTACGACCACAGACTTACATTCGACCAAGGCCCTTGCTAAACCGAAACTCTCCACTCCCTAGATGTACAACCCGTATCGTATGAAACAGTACAAAACCACTACATAGAATATCCCTAATATGCAACCCGTAAGCGCTTCAAGTGAAATGTCTCGGGTATAGCACCAGGATCTAGACAGTACGATTCGTAGTAGTGGTAGTAGTAGTAGTAGTGGTAGTAGTAGGAGTGGTGGTAGTGGTAATAGTAGTGGTAGTAGTAGTAGTAGTAGTAGCAGTCGTAGTAGCAGTAGTAGTAGTAGTAGTAGTAGTAGTAGTAGTACTAGTAGCAGGAGCAGTAGTAGTGGTGGTAGTAGTAGTAGTAGCAGTAGTAGGAGTCGCAAGAAGCAGGACAACAAAAACAGTAGCAGCAGCAGTTCGCAGGACAACCAAGGCAGTAGCAGTAGGAGTAACAACAGCAGAAGTAGTAATAGTAGTAGTAGTAGTAGTAGTAGTAGTAGTAGCAGTAGTAGTAGTAGTAGTAGTAGTAGTAGTAGTAGTAGTAGTAGTACTAGTAGTAGGAGTAGTAGTAGTAGTAGTAGCAGTAGTAGTAGTAGTAGTGGTAGTAGTAGTAGTAGTTGTTGCTGCTTGTTGTAGCAGGTAGTATACTTAGAAGTAGCAGCAGTAGCAGAAGCAGTAGCAAGTAGCAAGTACCAGGTAGCAGGCAGCAGGCAGCGGTTAGCAGGTGGCAGGAGCAGCAGTAGTAGCGTAGCAGCAGGCATTTGGCCCATAAGTAGTAGTAGTACTAGTAGTAGAAGTACTAGTAGTAGAAGTAGTAGTAGTAGTAGTAGTAGTAGTAGTAGTAGTAGTAGTAGTAGTAGTAGTAGTAGTACTAGTAGTAGTACTAGTACTAGTACTAGTACTAGTACTGGTAACAAAAACAACTGCCACTTTCTGAACTGCAGAACACTCTGTCACAAACCCAATGTTGGGAGTAACACACAACAAGCTGTATGACCACTGTATGACAAGGTAGGCAGTGGTAGTGGTGGCAGCAATGCAAATAATGCAAAATGCATTACATGGTGTCTGGGCATGGCTCGGCGTCGCAGGGACCCACAAGCGAACCACATTTTTTCACCGTGAGCCGCCTACTATACAGAGCAGCATCCAGATGAAGACACAAGAATTTAAGGTCACGGGTGAACCCAGAGCAACCTAAGGCCACCCAACAAGGGCACATGAGCTCAGTCAGATATCACGTCTAGCTCATCTGGCTAAGGAGCCCGGCTTGCTCTGGGCATTGAGAGTTTCAACCTGTCGCCGAAATCGAACTACTTCACACATGGGCACACTGGCAGCTTTCCAAGTCAATACCATAATCTACAGGTGGTGCTGCAACAATACGATGGGGGGTTGATGATACTGACAATACTTCTATCTTGAGCAAGCTTGGTTATATGCTCTCTAACACCACTTACACTGATGTTCCTGGCTTTGAGCATTTGCAATGTCTAGGCAATGCAAGATTTGAAGCACCGCACCAGCAATAGCAATGCTGATACTGCTACGACAACAACATTGTTGCACCCTGATGTGATGCATCATGCTATATAGGCTTTTGCAGTTTGTGCAAGATCATGGTCCGGAAAGCATCCTCAGCGTGCATTCTCGAGAACGTAATTGCTTTCAAGGCGTCTGTTCTGCCCAAGCAGCGTCTCTCATGAACGCCTGGTCAGTACAAATTCGACCGCTCTTGTCGCGGTTGGCGCCGCAAGCTGGTCAGTACGCGAGCTTCGAGAGCCAGTTCACTGCCGGCTATCTTCGTTTGTCACTGCACAATGGTAAGATGCCGCTTTGAATTGGGTCGCAACTCAAAGTAACAAGTCACGAAGCAGAGCTGCCCCGTCAAAGGCACTCCCCCAGAGGCAAACACTTCAGGGGAAACAAGGCGCGCCTGTCACAAGCCTCTCTTGGTCACGAGATTAATAGGGTTCAGGGCTTAGGGGTATAAATTTCTCACTGCTGCTACTTACATGCAGTGCGGTGGTTGGAGCCTAGCTGTCAACAGGCTGAATTTTTGGAAACAGCGCGTGGACAAAAGTCCCGCAAGACACTGCATGGTTCGCTTATATGGATGACAATGATGGAATTTTAGCTGGCCTGAAGCATGCGTAATGGCCAGTTCAAAAAGATGCGGCGACGATCACATCATCGAGTCGGCGGTTGGGCGTAGGAGAGGTCTGAATGTCGTCACTTCTTAAATTCCGGTCCAAATGCATGGACGTAGGAAACCACTATCCCAGCCCCAACCGACATTCCTTGAGCCTGCGTTTGCATTCGCATATCGCCGCTCACTCGGCTGAACATGCAGTTGCCCTTTTGGCTGCGACTGTGCGGCCAGACTATTAAGGAGTAAGGTTGGACGCGCTGCACAAAAACAATCAGCTGCCAACACCTCTGCACTCTTGGGTTACTTAAAGGATCATGGGACTTAGTAACTAAGGTTATAATTAGGGTAACTATACTTATAACTTATAACCCCAATTAGGGTACTTATAACCTTACTTACTAAGTCCCACCGAGCCAGGTTCCCCAAGCAGCAGCTGAAGGTTAGAGCAGCTTGAGAGGGCTGTGGACGAAGCAGGAGTGCAGTCCCTGAAACTACAATACTCATAGCTCGCTACTCAACTCCTAATCCTTATATCCTACACTCTGACTCTGACAAACTAATGATAAGAGGACTGTCGCACAAGCGCTAGCATCCCAAAACGAAAGCTGTAACCGGAAATCCGAAAAGTCCACCATGTCCGGTCAGTCTTCTTGGGTCGAAGTATACCAGGCGCTTTCAAATCAGCAGCTTGTCTGCCTAAATCTTGCACCCTAAAATACCCCCCCAAAAAAAAAACTCCCAACCCTGATCCGTTAACCGCAACCTCCAAGGCTCCAATTTGCTTCTCCTCCCTCTCTCTTCCGCTGTACATAGAGAACTGTAACTGTATAGGCACCAGATGCCCGTGCACGAGGTGCCCGAAAGAACTGGGTGATCGAGTCTGTGGCATGGACCACGATTTCATCAGGGTGCAGAGATTAGGTCATGGCTTAGGACTCAGGGTCCAAGGACTAGGCTTCATTCAGGGGTGCAGGGTGCTGATAGCTACGGTTCGTCACGATAACAGCTCACAGAAAGTGGAAGTTGGCAAGTGATACTGACTTAGAGGTAAACATGCTCACAATCATCATCGTCACACCCCAAACCCCGAAGCTTCAGATTAAGCGCAACATGGGACTCATCTGCATGCGAATTTCATGTAGAACATGATGAAGGGAGACGGGCTCAAGGCCGTGTGCGGGATCTCCTTCTTGAAGCCATAAAATCCCGAGCCTCAAACCTTCATGCCCCGGCAGCCAGATCTTAGTTGATGGGAGGCCAAAAAGGGGGGTTTAAGATTCTTGGGGTAGGGATTCCTCAATATGAACCCTATTATGCGAACCCTAATCCCTACTAAACTCCCATAGGCAAAAACCCCTTTCGGCCTCCTATGTTTCGTTCAGGGGGGTTTGATAATTGGTGTTCTCGGATGCGGTGGTGGCTGCACCGGATGCGCGCACGGCGCGCATGACAAGGCCACAAACTTTGCTACTCACCCGCCCACCGAGGTGAAGCCGGCGCTTGGGCTCCCGCTGTCAGAGCTTGCGCTCGCTACATCAGATGAACTTGCCTGCTTCCTTGGCTTTGCATGTGTGGAAGAACACAGGGACGTCAGGGACGCAAGCTTGGTTTTGTGGCTTGGTGCATGAAGGCTGTATGATGCGGGTCGTGGCCTGCTATTACAGGGTTCTGCAAGCTCAAACAAATCCGATTAAACCCCAAAGCTCTGCTTGGAGTCCTCTAAAGGTGCGATGAAGGCAGGTAGGATTAAGGATCCCTTACCTAAAAACTCTTGTTCTAGAAATACCCCGACTATCTTCATCACACCCTTACCTTAAACCCTAAACCTTTAACTTTTAGACTCCCTAATCCCTAAAACCCGAAAACCCGAAAGCTCTGTCAGCCAAGAGTCAGCCGGATGGCGCCCTGCCTGGCTACAGCTCCCAAGATCGCCATCCGCTCGAAGCCCATGTGGCAGGCACCTGGGTTCTTGGTAAGGAACTTACATAGGGTTAGGGGATCAAAAATAGGGATCGAAAAAGGGCTCCTTTGAGGGATCCACAAGGGTTCCTATAAGGGATCTATAAGGGTTCTTGTGACGGAACTTAGGGCTTTATGATTAGGGCAACTTGAACTAAATTCCTCAACAAGAACCCAGGCACTGATGAGGCCATCCTTGCCGAAGATGAGACTTTGCAACCTGGGCCCACTGTCTTTCAGATTCAAGGTCTACTTGGAGGTTCATGGGTAGTTATAACGGTTCAGTTAAGGCTCCCTTTAAAAGGGATCTATAGAGATTCTATAAGGGAATAGGGTTTAGGGCCTACTTGGAGGTTCATAGGTAGTTCTCAGTGGGGAAGTAAGTCCCCTAATATGGGTCATAATTATGGTCACCCTACTTATAACTACGCAGGAGCCTCCAAATACAGTTTTCAGGGTTTAGGGACGATGAGATTTGCAACCTAGGGTTCACTGCGTTTCATATTCAATGTCTAGTGTTTCGGATTTCATGGTTCTCCAGGGAGCTCATATGTCGATGGGCACGTGTCGTGCACATGGTTGCAGACTGGAGCCTACCCTAGCTTGCATACCTGGGCCATCTCAGATCCACAAAACATTCCAAGACTTCACGCTCTGAACTCCAAGCAGCTCTTCATTGAAACGCGCTTTGTCTTCGATCTTTGACAGAATGAGCTCCGTGTCGGCTGGGTTTGATGCAGACATCTCCTCCAGCGATATGAGAATCTTATGCTGGAAGTGTCACAATCTGGGGTTTGGGCTTTGCGGGCAGACCGGTTTCGGTAAAGAGCTCTCAACCCGCACCACAAAACAGGTAACACCCTATCAGACGTCATCTTGAGCCTCTTGCTACAACCCCCCCTGCTCCCATGAGTCTTGAACGGCCCCAAACCACGGCAGGTCCTCGACTTTGAGGCAGTGAAGCCACAATTCGTACTGATTCAAGTTCTCTTGCGAAAGTGTCCGCATGCGCTGCACCATTCCAAGCTGTTGCGCCTGATGGATCTCCTGGGGTCTGCTTGAAGGTTCATGGGTAGCAAAAAGTGGGGAAATAGAGGTTTAGGGTTCCTTTAAGGGTTTAGGGAAGTTATAAGCAGGGTTAGGGCTTCGGAATTAGGGTTTTTGGTAGTTATAAGTGAGGCTATAAGTAGGGTAGCCATGATTAGGGGACTTACAACTTATAGCCCCACTTATCACTGCCCATGAATCTCCTTGGTCTGCCCAAAGATCGGGGCTTCGTCAAGCGAGGGGACCCGTTTGTCTTGTGGATTTTTTTGTGAATAAGTAGGATCCTAGCATTGGGCTCCTATAATCTAAAGCTCTCGTCTAGAGGCCTGAGCAAGGGTGCGCTTGGACCCTGCAACGAGTTCTTCAGGATTGTCGCAATTCCTCTTGCCCGCTGCCACACTACTTCAAAACGAAGTACATCGAGCAAAACTGGATGCTTGCACCACCCTCTCCCCTATACTCATGTTTGCCAGTGCATGGGTTGAGGAGCACTATGACCATGTCTTTTGCTATAGTTGTGCATCGGCTTATGCTTCTATCATTAGTCATCACCTTTTGACGTACTCCTGCTGCTGCTACTACTACTACTACTACTACTACTACTACTACTACTACTACTACTACTACTACCGCCACCACTACTCCTGCTGCTCCTGCTGCTGCACAGGTTGTCACTTTTTTATGCTTCTACTTAGCATTCCATCGACATGGATGACGATGCAGATTGCGCCTGCTGGTGCGGAGTCATGGTTTTGACCCTTACAGGGAACTCCAGAAAGTTGGAATATGGTTTCATGGTAGGATACCCTATAATTTACCATAGAAGGGTTAGGATAATCATATTCCAACTTTCTGGCTTCTACCTTAAACCTGCGCCCCGAGACCGCAACGCACCAGGCGCGCGTGAAGAGGTGGAACCTTGGCTGATTGTGCTTCGGGACTCAGACAAACGAGGGCCTGTGCTTTCGTCAGCAAGCCATTGAAGCCAACTCCAGGACTTTCTGCCGTAGAGTCGGAACCCTTCAAATGGGTAGTTGTCAAAATTATGGTCCCTTTTTGGATCTCTAATATAGTACGGCACCTAATATTTAGGGTATCCAAAAAGGGACCCTAATTTTGACACCCACCCAAATGAACTTGCACAACATGCAAGGCACTGAGCGTCGACGGCGATCACTTGCGAGAACCTCGGAAGATTCGGGCGGAAAGGCTACACTCGATGCTCCCAGGCATGTCCCAAACACTGCACACCAAATCCGAAGAATAACTCCGATACCACTATGTGGGAGTTTCCAAGAATAGGGGACCCCAATATAGCACCCTAAATAGTAGGATCCCTATTATACGGACCCCAAAATAAGGTACCCCGAATTTTCGGAAACTCCAATATACAGGTGCCTGAACCCTAAGATCTGAAACCCCGAAGAAAGCTCTAAACTAAACCCTAAAACCTAGTTCCAAAACTTGTAGGGGCTTAGGGATTTAAGACCCTCTGCAATCTTCCGGACATGATTACACAAAAACCGAGCCTGGATAAAACGAGATCCAAAACCATTCAACCTGAAGCAGAAACCCCAACATCACTGGCCCTTGCAAAACTGGAAGACGACACTGCTAGAATCTAGAAGAAACCTACTGAAAGACTTAAGCGACCAGGGAATGTAGTCAACGGGCTCAGAAGTGCTTGATTGCCAAGCAAGATACATGATTTACTTGCAACCGTGCTGGCTCAAACCCGTTGCTCTTAGCACCGAACCCTGGACCTGCACAACCCAAACATAAACCTCGGCACCCAACCCCCAAACCCTTGACACGAAAGCCACACCCATAAACCATAAACTCCCTAAGCACGAAAAGCTACAAGCCCTCAATGCCTTGAGTTCGAAATCTTGGCGACCTGAAGCCCAAAGCCGTAGCCGAATCGTGCCTTGAACCTTAATATGTTGGGCTTAATACTCAAGGGCGGAAAGGGTTTACATTATCGTACCAGCAAAATAGACAGAGGAACCTCGGGGCAAAATTTGGTCATATATAGGGGCCTTAATAATTACAGTATGGTCTTTCGGGCCCATCAGAAGATAAGTGTAATAAGGAGCCCACCAAACTAGTATAGGTAATTATGAAGCCCCCTCCAGTATCTATTCATGAGAGTAGATTCTGATCCCACAGCATCATTAGAGATGGCCTTAGCTGCTTCCTGGCAACCCAGGCTTCAGTGTCGAGATCAGCCCCATCATATCCTTCTTTCACACGCACACAAGCACACACGTTTTGGAGTTGAAGAGTCGGGTTTAGGGTTTAACAGTTAAGGGTAAGAGGTTTCATCAGGAGCACAGATTCGGCACATTGCGGTGTTCGCAGGATTTATGCCGACTCGGTTAAGATCCTAATCGCTACACCGCTCTAACCTGTTTGACTCAAAGCTGCCTACAGCTACCATGGTGCGGACCCTGGCTTGCTTGGAGGATACTTCTAGTCGTCATTGCTCAACACCGGCGGGGATCTACGAACGGAACTGTTACCATGGCAAGTGTGCAAGACTTGACAACAGCGAGGTGAGACAAAGGACAAAAGAGCAATGACGACAAACGACAGACGAAAGTGATGAACTGCTGCCACTGCTCCATGGAGTTAGGCAAAGGAAGTGCAGCCGAAGAGGATGCCAGGTCAGGGGCCAATACGGGAGAACACAGACACAAGAGTCAGCAATGACAGTATAAAGTTTCGAAAACTTTGCGGAACATGCCAACCAACCTCATACGGCGGCTGATTGACATCAGGCCACGACAGATACACTACAAGACTCAGAACATGACACAACTACTCGCCCGAACGGATCAAGAGGCTGCTGCATCGCATCAAGTAAAGTTACAAGGATATACTGAGGTTATCGGAGTCGGACAACCGCAAATTATATTTGTCACCAACCATCCCTTGTTGGACGAAGCCTTCGACAAACTAAACAACTTGCCTAGACCCTGTTTGGGTTTGAGCCTGTTGGGATTGTAATTTGCTCCTTGTTTCCGTGTTTTCTCGGAGAGCCCAACCTGACTGTACCACTGATAGTACCCTTATACTACTAAACCCTAAACCCCTGAAGCCACAAGGCCTGAAACCATAAATTCGGAAGGCCTGCAACACTGCAGCCATGAACACCAAAACCCCCGAATTCTTTTCTAAATCCTAAATCCCTAAAGGCCGAACCCTAAACCCCTAAGGTCTGAACCCTAAACCCCTAAGGTCTGAACCCTAAACCCCTAAGGTCTGAACCCTGAAACCCTAAGGTCTGAACCTGAATCCTGAAGTAAACCCTAAACCCTAAACACTAAACCCTAAACCCTAAAGTTGGCCCTACAGATGCATGCGAGGAGTCATGGAACTTGTTCATCTCGCAGCGCACGCTCTGCCTGTGGAGGCTGAGGAGGCATTTAGGAGTTTCCGAAAATTAGGGGTACCTTATTTGGGGGGTCCTTATAGTAAGGATCCTACTTTTTAGGGTACTATATTAGGGTCCCCTATTTTCGGAAACTCCCATTTAGGGGGCCTTAATACTCAGAATACGGCTCAGTTTCTCCAGGGGTCTATAAGAGTTACCCTAGGCCCTAGGGATTTACTTTAAGGGTTCACCTCGGGCCTTAATAATCAGAATAAGGTTCAGTTTCTCCAGGGGTCTATAAAAGATACTGAAGGGATTACTTAAATCGCTGCGTCTTGTGCCTTGGAAGTCAGTATAAGGTACCGGGACATGTTCTAGTATACGTATGACAAGGAACTCTACACGCCAAGCACATGCTGTCTTCTGGGCTTTGTGCACGACCTTATTGGCTGAAGGGTTCCAGGGTTTAGGGTTACTTGAATGTCCATGTGTAATAACTAAGAAAGATCAAAGTCTAGTACCAGCAGCTGTGCAACATGCAAGTGTAGCCGGAATTTTCAAGGCATTCTCACTGTCCGGATACTGCCCTCGCAGTGGTCGACCCTGAACTTGAGCATAGTTTTAGCTGGCTTTACAGCGGCTTCTAAGGGGATGACACGAACATGTTGTTGACGATGGCATTAGTGGTATTGGTCGATAGCTAATGCCAGTGACGGTGCTGGTGATGCCGCGGCTGTACAGCGTGGTGAAGGGAGGGTTGTCATGGCTACTGCGACAAACTCATCTGAAAAAATGATACGACAAGCATACCGTTTTCGCTGTGTAGCATCACTGTCATTGTCACTGACCTAATATAGGGGCCAAAATAACTAAGTAGAATAGGGTTTGGGGGCCCCTTATACTATAATTATGAAAAGGAACCCCCAAGTTTACAATTAGTGCAGGAAATTATTTTGGCCCCTATATTACACTCATCTGTCAATTAGCTCCTGACGCTCGCGATTTGCAGGTTCTAGCCGAACTGCGGGCTGGAATCTGGGAAGTGCTTGAGAGCTTCTGTTTTTTATGGGGCTGCCGTAGAAATTTCTCAAGGCCTTTTAAACCTTAATCAAGACTCTAAAGCGCTAAAACTTAAACCCGAAAGCCCCACATCGGCCCCCACCTAGGCTTCATGGTGTCGGGCTCTGAAGCGCCAGGAGCCATCAGTTAGCCCAAACCAGGACCTTCAACCCGACACCGCCAAAACAAGACACCGAGCCACAACGCCCGGTTTCAGACCCTGCTCCAAAAAAACGACCCTAAACCCTGAGCCCTTAAAGGGAACTCCCGAAAGTTGGAATATGGTTTCAGGGTAGGATACCCGATAATTTACCATAAAGGGTTTAGGATAATCATATTCCAACTTTCTGGCTTTTACTATAAGCCTTACCACAGCATAACCGATCAAATCATCGAAGGGGCCCATCTTTGAGTGGCGGCGTATCACTCCAGTACTTCGGGTGATCGCAGGTGCAAGCCGGGGGAAGCTGGCAGGTCACGGGATCCTCCGGAGGGCAACACATATTTGCCGGATGGGAGCTTAGAGTTGAAGGTCATCTTAGAATCCAGGGTTTAGGGTTTGAGGGTTTAGAAAATAGCGGTTCTACAAGAATTGCCAATCTTTAGGTTCTTTGATCCTGCTCTAGGCCCTCGCGCTTTCAAGTTCAGCTCGGAGCATTTCTTCTTGGGCTTCGGGCTGCTTGGCCAGAAGAACCTGCGCACCGAATCCAAGCTCAAATTCACTCACGCACTGAAAGTATGTGTATACATATACATATGCATACATATATATATATACATACATATGCATAGTGATATGTATACGGGCAGGTTTTAACGCTTTGAACTTCTGTGCTCTGCGGCTGACACCCGACAACCTATCCAGGTCGGCCTCGTCGGGAACTTGTGCTTCGGAGGCTGTGTCTTACAGAGCTGTTTAGGGGGGTCTAGGGTTTAGGGTTTAAGGATTTTAAGGGATTCCAGGAGCCTTGAAACAAGCCTCCAAGCTTTCGGGAGGCTAGGAAGTTGAGAGCCCCTTTGTCTCCTTCATGAAGTCCGGGACGGTGCCGCAGATACCAGCATGCTGGTTCACAGCGAAACAGCAGATCCAGTAGGTGGACCTGTGGCTTCTGGGAACACGTGAACATGTACCAAGCCCGATAAACCCTCGCACCTATGATTCCTGAAAATACTTGAGTAAAGACGCAGCCGGTTCGCTCGGACACAAAATCAATCTATAACCAATCCAACACTTTGCACTATGTAATCGGTTAACTGTACTTGGAATGCCCGGTTTCTTATATATAAGTGTTTGTGATACTTAAGCGAAAATATAATGGCTTAGCATCATCATATAAGTCTGTGTTAAGTATGTGCTAACTGTGTATTAAGTCTGTGCTATGCATATACATCTGTTATATGTTTAACATATCTTGGTAATATGATTAGTTTTTTGTGTAATCAACATAATCATGTTAACTTCCACAAAAAAGTTATAAAAGTTAGGTAAAAAGTTATGCTATGTATACGACAATTTTTTGTTGTTTCCTAAGAATAAAAAACATACATGGCATGGCAAGCAAGCATCTCGGTCCCTTATGTTATTTGTCAGTGCAGGGGAGATTAATTATGGAAAAGTCAAGGTGTCTATGTAAATTTCTCACTGGTGCATATTTGTTTCTGTGGCCAGGAGACGATGCGAGAGCCAATGTTGTGCGTGTTTTTTCTTGCTACATACATGCTTGACATAAATCGGAAATCTTTTTTTGCCTTGCCTCGACATGACATGTAACGAAAATCATGAACATATCCGGATTCGCATGCATGGCTCTATAGCTTCGCCAGTGTGGCCGTCCATCTCGCATTTCTTGATCAGTCGGCCATTTGAGCAGTGTGAGCCATGGTCACCATCTCGCACATGGTGACATTCCAATAGAAGGAGGAGAAGGCCATCATCGTGCCCACCGACCTGATCATTCAGTATGAAGAGCATCAGTACATCCAGCTGAGGCCCACGAACCATGCGATCTGCCAGCTCGTTTGTGGTAGCAACATTCCGAAGAATGCATCCATATCAGCATGCACAAAGTTGCAGGATATCATTCAGAAGCGAAACGAAGCCATGCAGTCGGATGAAGCATCGGAGCAAAAGGACGATCTCTTTCCATCCAGCGATGAGCCCCCATCGAAGAAGAAAAAAGGCATGAAGATTCTGCCGCCCACCGTGAACATCACGGTGGGCGAAGTGGCGGTCACATGCCTCGTCCATGGTCGCCGACCATCCGCATCGGACCTTTGCATTCGCCTGGATGCTACCCAGATCGGCGCCATCGTGGACTTCATTTGGGGGGATGCCATCGAAGCCATGCAGCAGTCTAAGAGGAAGTACGTGAAGAAGGTCAGGAAGTGATCGCATAGTTTCCATGACATGGACTTCATGCCGGCCTCTGAGGAAAAAATGCAAACCGTGCCAATGCATGCCCATAATTTCATGTGCAACATGACATGCAAAGGCTAGTTTCGCATGCACCTTGATCCCTGCGATGTTGTTTCCCTTGCATATGCAGCATTGAATTTTGCCTTGTGGCCATACAACGGGAAGCCCATCCATTGCCAACATGGCGGTGCCGCAAAGCATTGTCTTCGAAGTACAGACGATCATGGACGGGGAGATGCCATTAAACAGCAAGACCGAAGCCGTTTTGGCAGTTTTGGAACATGCCGGGCTTGCATCGAAGCAACGACTGCTGCCCCGGCATCTGCTCATCCATCCGGACAATCGCTCCCAGTCGATGCTCTCCGTCTGGTCGAAGGGGTTGGCCATGAGCATGGTGGGCTTCAATGTGAAGCTGGTGGAAGGCACCACCATCGCATTCGCCATGAGCACAGAGCCAGAGAAGAGAGCCATGCAGCTGGCCAAGAACAAGGCATTGATCGACAATGCCAAGGGGCATTTGGCACCCATGACTGGTTCAGAAGGTAGGCCCTATATCCGTCAAACCTCATGAAAGGGTAATATATAATATATAACCCTTTAACCCTACATACGGATGTAGAGTTAATCGTGACTGCAACTTTATCTTGTCTCTTCTTGCAGGCTACTTGACCATCGGGGGCAGCCATACAGTTGCGTATCTTCGCTGCATCGAAAACGGTGTGACCGGGCCATCGGCGGAGTCAAGCACCCATCCGAAATCGGATGCTATCTGGCGAGCCATCTCCGAAGGCTGGACATGGGTGACCATTTCCAGCGCTGTGGAGGATGCCATACCCATTTTGCCATCATTTCTCCAATCATCATTGAACTCTGCGAACAGCATCCAGAAGAGCATCTCGGAGCTGGAGGTTGCCATGCTCTTGGCCACATGCTTTGGCAAAGGCATGACACTGGCACAGGCTGTGAAGCATGCAGGGGCTGCCGATGTAAGGTGCCGATCATCCATTTCGGCCATAGCCACATTTGTCCAGAAGTTCAGTGGACATGCGGGGACATGCCCCATTTTGCATTTCTTGTCGAACTTCAGCAAAGTGCATTCTTCCAGCATGCTCCTGGGCGAGGACATGATGACACAGATTGCAACCATGGACTTCAAGTCATCCACGAACATGTATCCAGTGACCAGAGCCGCCATCTGGTTGACCCTATTGGCATGCCCGAAGAATCATGAGAGGGATGGTTTTGCTCGGAACCTCATTCGCTCAGACATTGAGCGATTGAGGCAAGCAGCATGCCTGCCCATGACAACCAAAGCGGAGCAAATGCTCCAGGATGCATGGGGCATCCATCAAAGCATCCATGAAGGCCAAGGCAAGCACATTGACGGCCATCACGTGGACAATTGCTTTGGCCGCCTGTGCATAAGGACCATCTTGCATTTATGCAACAAGGCGAAGACTGGCAGCAGGGAGTGCAGGGAGTTTGCATCTTTGGAGGTCATTGTCGAGGCGTTCTCGACAGAGCTCTACAAGGATTCCCCTGCATCGGGTGCAGAGGCATCGAAGAGCGATGAGAAGCCCATGGTGGACGTTCTGTCGGCGAAGCCGCATGTTGTGGCATTGCTGCAGAATGCCCACATGACCATGGGCGGCAAGCCACTCGATGGGTTTTGATTGCTTTCATTTGTTATACATTTTTGTTGCTGTTCATGGTTGTGCTTTGAGGTACACGAACAGCAAAGAACATGGCTCCATGGTTTTCATCCTCCAGAGTGTCAGTGACGATGGGGCATGCATGCGGCACACCCCATTCTTCGGCGACAGCATCGACATCAGTGTCCCACTGGAGTCATTGAAGAAGTGGAGGAGCACTGAAACACCCATGCCGAAGCTTTGTGATGTTACCATGGTGACGAAGTGCATGCCCAATGTTCATCCCGCCTTTGTTGAGGAACATCAGCGGGCCATGGTGATAGTGGCATTTTGCATGTGGTGCACAAGAAGCATTCGTCGACCAGTTCCCTTGCACTCGGGCAGTTCCCCTCCAGCTTGATGACCATGGTCACATGCAAGAAGAAAGCAGGCATCAAGCTGACACCCATGGGCAACATTTCCAAGCATAAAGCAGAAGGAGCTCCAAAGGGCACAGCCTTGGAGGCATTTGGGTCTCATTGGGTTGTTTCCCCACCGAAGCAGAACACATTGTTCGAGGATGAGAAGCATCCGTTGGTGCCATACTTTTGGGTGAGAGCATGTGCATCGGATGCCCAGCCGAACATGTCATTTTCCACCATCGTGCAGGATGGGGTCACGGTGCCCATGCTCTACAACGAGGAGCCCATCGAGAAGCATGAAGTGTTGCTCCACCCACCCATGGAGGAGACCATGCAGGAGCCGCCCAAGAAGAAGGCCAAGGCAAAGGCCAAGGCCAATTGATTCATGCCATGAAGCATTTGCATCCATCGATTTCATGCAGAGAATGCAAAAATTATAAAAGAAACTTTTTTTTTTGGTGGCGGTTTCTGTTTCAAGTATTTTTTTGGGCAGGGTTGTTCCAGGGTATATATTGGGTTGGGGTTTAGAGTCTTCGGGTCTAGATTTTCGGGTAAGGGCTTATGGGGTTTATGGGGTGTGCGGATTATCTATATATGGGTAAGAGGGGTGCTTTATAGGTTACTTCAAGGGTCAGTGTTTTGGGGTTCGTGGGCTTCGGGTGAAGGCTTAAGGATTTTTTTAGGCTGTAGTGCATTTTCGGGATAGGCTTGTAAATATGTTTCTAAATATGGTGTGTATAGATAGAAATAGACCATGTGCATCCAGGGGGGGGGGGGCGGGTCGGCGAATAAAAGGGCTCGAAGTCAAGACAGAATCGAAGAACATTCAGTATATAGAACATATATTGTATGTATGAGTTAATAAATGTATGTTTCTAAATTGCCACATTGAGGCTGTTGCATGCTGCTGGCCATAGATATGGCAGTCATGCAGGATGCCATGTAGTGGCCATGTTATCTTCTTGAAAAGCCAAATACATGGCTATCGCCATATTATGGCAGTTTCTCTGCACATTGCCAATTTATGGCTGTTCTATACATGCACATGGCCATGATGGCTGTTCCATGCACATGGCCATTAAATGGCTGTTCGCCATTGTGGCTGTTCCATGCTAGCCCATGCACATGGCCGTGTTGTGGCCGTTCCTGGTTCCATGCATGCAGTTCTGACTGACAGTTACATGTTCTGCATGTTGCAGGGGAATGCACATCTTCAGCTGAGTTTTGCGAGTGGCCATTGCAAGTCAAGCCATTAGCTATATATAGCCATCGATCCCATCCCGAAGCCATGCACCATCCATGTGTGAGCAACGGTTGCCATCGCCGGTGCAGTGTTGCCTACAGGCATTGTTGCAGCTTGTGTCCATTCGGGCATAAGAAAAGCTGCGACAGACGGCAAGCCCTGGTGCAGCATGGGCAGGCATCATCCGACACATCGGTGCCGACACCGCCAACCATGCCGCCACCATCTTCGAGCAGCCATCCGCCTCCATCGGCAACCATGCCGCCACCATCTTCGAGCAGCCATCCACCGCCATCTCAGAGCACATTGCCTCCGGAACACATGCCGGTGGCATGGTTGCCATGGCGGCATGAAGGAAACGAACGGCTCCGTATCTTCTTGGTCCATGCATTAAAGACACATGAGGACTTCGGATCCATGTGGGGGCGATGGCATGCATCAGATGAGATTGGAGGCATATGGCGCCATTGGTTGGACAAGCAGTTCATAGCGGTCCATCCCGACATGGGCAACACTCCGGGCAACGATGACATCAGAGCTTTCATAGCCATGCTCAATAGAAGCATGTCATGTGTACAGAACAGCATTTGCGCCATGTGCTTTCGGTGAAAAAGAAGGTCGCTGGGTGGGAAGAAGCAGCATGTGAGTTACAGTTTCTGTGCATGAGTACCCAAATATGCATATGCATTGCATGGAAAATGTTATTTATCTATATCACCAACCTCACATACCCATTCTTCAGAAACCAACTATATAGATCCTCACCTCTTCCATGCACATGGCCTTTTGGTGGCTGTTGCATGCACATGTAGCAGAGCCCACTTATCATGAGGGTTGTGTTGTACATACATGTTGTTGTATCTGTATCTATACTGCATGCAGCTGCCATTACAAGTACAGGCATCCCATCCCACAGCACATCCAGCCGACTGTGGCAATATGATCCCAATGTGGATCGCCAACATCGAGCGAAGCCCTCATTTGCAGCCTCCCCGTGTGCCAGCATCACGGGCGACCATGACACCAGGTCTGCAACCACCACCGGGTTTGCCATCCCCATCGGGCGAAGCATCATCGGCAGCTGGACCATCGGACGAAGCCTCATCGGCATTACCATCGGGCGAAGCATCATCGGCATCAGCATCGGGCCCGGCATCATCGGCACCCATGCGGGGGGTCGTGGCGGTGCCAACATTGCCTTTGTCATGGCGTCCCCATTACAATTCGGGCAGTCATCGAACCAGGACATTCATCATCCATTGCCATGAGACCATGGGCGAAATGAGCCGTCCAAAATTCAAGACATGGCTCCGCATGCAGCTGATGGCTGTGCATCCAGACGTCGCAGACCATGGCAACTCGCCCAGCATCATCAGCGCCAGACAGATGAGGGCATTCATCGGCATGGTTATTCGCGACATGGGAGTGTACTAGTCATGGCAGTGGCGGGTGTGAAAAACAGGCAGCATCGGTGCCTTTAGGGTTTTTTTTCAAGGGGTTGGGGGGTGTGGGGGTTTGGGGGGTTGGTATATAGGTGGGTGGTTTCTCTGTTATATGTATATTAAGGGATTGCAATAGTGGGTTTAAGTTGTTATGTGTAGATATGTATATATATATATATACATATGTATATATTATTATGTATATACATATATAGATATATACATAGCTACACACACACACATATATTAGTCAGTACATGTGTCCTCATGCAAGTGGAGTTATAGATTCCTTTTAGGCATAGCATTTTGTGCATGCTTATATATATATATATATACACACACATGTACTACTCGGAAGCCTTGTGGCCATTCCATATAAAGAAGCCATTTGGCCGAAAGCCCCCAAGACATCCACAACAATTCCGGAAGCCCCCAACACATCGACAAGAAAACCTTAAAGCCTTCTGGCCATCCCATATACATAGCCATTTGGCCGAGAGCCCCCAGCACATCCACAAGACAACCCAAAGCCTTGTGGCCATCCCATATAAAGAGAAGCCAAGCCCCCAAGACATACAGAACAAAACTGAAAACATGTTTTGTTGGTGTGCCTGGTGGCCATCTGTCGCAGTATAGGAGCAGGACAGTCATGTGCACCTATGTTCTGCACGGGCAGCCCTTTTGGCCATCAAGCCTTTTGCAGCATCCCGCCTTCCATCCTCATCTTGTCCGCATCATGGACAACATGTCGCCCATCATTGAGGCCGGAGAAGACTGAAAACATAAAAACAAACATTGAAATAACGAAACACTTGCCCTGCAACGAGGGTTGGAACATGACGGAGGCTTTTTCAGATAGTTTTAAAAACCCATATAAACCCTAAAGCTTTAAACCCTATAAACCCTATATACAAACCCTAGAGCAGAAACCCTAAACATATATAGAAATACAGGTATATATACATATATATATAGTATATATATAGTATGTGTATATATATATAGTGTATACATACATACACACATACATACATACATACATATATATATATATATATATATATATACACATGAATATACATGTATATACATATACTTATATCTATGTATATATATATATATGTATGTAAATATATATATATATATATATATATATATGTATATATATATATATATGTATATATATACATATATATATATATATATATATATATATTTATCAACATACTAATGTATATATGGATATATATATATATATATATACATATATATATATATATATAAACCCCTGACAGGGTACCACCGAGCCGACACCCACGACGAAGGAGCATGCCCCGGCATCCGAGAACCATGGGCAAACCATTGGGACGGCGGAGACCACCCATGGGCAGGCCATGACAACCGAGCCCCATCAGGCTCATGGGGAAGAACATGCCGAGAATGGCCATGGGAGTGTTTTGGCGCTTTTTATGTATATGTATATACATACATACATAAATTATATATGTATATAGACATAAACATATACATATGTCCATACATACATATGTATATATATATATATACACATATACATGCATGTGCATCCCAGGTTCGTGGTCCGGCCCGGCACATGCCGGGCTCGTGAACGACTCGAACGGTGCCATACCATGGAGTGTACAGGCTCTGATTCCAAGCCCATTGTATCAGGTTTCCATGAGCTGCAAATCATGCAGCAACAGTTGGTTATACCTGCATCGCCTGGAAACCATCAAGACCTGTGCAACATGCGGTACCCCATGGGCCGACAGCCTGGTGCATGCCGGCTTAACCATGCGGAACCCATCCGGGGTGCAGCAGCATCCATGAGTGGTCGATGACCACATGATTGTGCCATAGGCATCATCATCCTCCATGCCACCGCCGCCTGGCATTCATGTCATCATCAGCAGCAGCAGCACCACCATCGACGGCATCAGCAACAGAAACACCATGTGAAGCCTGATGGCCATTTTGTTGGCATGGAGGATGCAATTTCAATAAGAGCACATCTTCGGCAGTGCATGGCGAGAACTGCAGGGCATGCCACCCGTGGCCGGTCCCATGAATGGTGCACCCGGCCATGCATACCAACATGCCTCTATCAGAGGCATCCAGACTACCCCCCCATTCTGGTTCCGACAGCCCTTGTTTGCGGTTGGGGGGACCATCGTGCCATTGTGCCTACCCATCCCACCACCCCCCACCCCGGCAACATTAGCAGCAGCAGCAGCTATAATGCTGCCGGAGCAAGGCCAGCGTGAAGCATGAGATGAAGCAGGAGGACCCGGACATCAAGCAGGAAGTCAAGCAGGAGGACACCATCATGCAGCCAGAAAGCCATGGCTGCCCTGCCGCAGACATGCAGCCACCGCCATCGCCAGCTGCATCCGACACATCCATGCCCCCCCCAAGCAACACACAGCCCCCAGCAGCCAAACCATCAACAGCAGCACCTCCCGAGCCAGCATCTCCACCCGCCAAAGTTCCCAAACCCACATCCAGACCACCGCCCGCCAAAGTTCCCAAACCCCCATCCACACCACCGCCCGCCAAAGTTCTCAAACCCCCATCCACACCACCGCCCAATGTTGCCACAGTTCCCATGCCCCCGCCCTTTCCACCGCCCAGAGCCAAGCAATCATCCGGACCATGCCCCACACAGCGGGCCACTGGCTGGAAATTCAAACTGGTCTGGGCAGCGAAAGCATGGAATGCACAGGATTGGCATGGACTGCAAGACATCGTCAACACCATGCGAGAAGACTTGGTGAACAACCAAGATGGTTCTGGTGCATGGAAAGACAAAGCTCGGAGCTTCATCGAGGCATTCGACAACCATGACTGGAACACTTGCAAGAACCTCATGATTTGGTGTCTCAGAATGCACATGAGTGCAATGTTGTGTGTATATATATAAGACAAACATACATGTATATGTGTTTCTGATATAAATGCATGTTTGTCCCCACATATACTTAATACCTTGTACATGCATGCATACATAGATACATATACGTGTATACATCCATATAAATGCATGCATGCCTACATGCGTGCATACATACATACATACATACAATGCAGCCTGGAACTATATATATATGTATATACATATATATACATATATATATGTGTGTGTGTGTACTATATATATATATATATATATATATATATGTATATATATATATATATATATATATGAGCCTGATACCTTTGGGGTCTATTTAACTAGTCTGCCATATATACAATATAAGATCCCTATCTAAATCTTATATTCCTACATATTATATTACAAGACTTACGCTCTGAAAAGTTTAGCATTACTTAGGTCTATCATATTTTTCTCATTATTGCCGACACTACTGCCACTTTGAATCCTGCTTAATATACATTGTCACCTATACAGGCCACGCCAATTCTTTGCATGGGAGCAGCTTGGAAGTGCTTTCGTCATCATGTCTAATTGGAACCTGAAACGAAGGATCCCGTGGAGGTTCGAGTAAAACCGCACCGACGACGTCCTCGAGGCCAGCGGGCCATTCACCTTAGTGTGTAGTTAGGTGCCATGATGTTAAACATGCTCCACACAATCGCAGAGACAAAGTATATTCATTGCAGAACGGAGTGGCTTGCTTCTACAGCAGCTTCCTTGGCCTTGGACTCCGTGAACGCGGCATCGTTGAATCCATTGGCTTCCGTACCTCGTATAGTATTCTTTGTTACAACGAACATAGACTGTTAACATGCAGGATTCCACGGCGTCTGTAATATATGCTTGCTGTAATTTGACTTGCCTCCGCACGATGCGTCATCAACGTCCATCTGAGATGATGCCTCAGTATCAACAGTCCTAGTGGATTCTAGTAACGTCATATGCGTAGGAATAATGGTACTGGTGTACATTATCCTGAACCGAATCAATTTACAATGACACTGGTGATGCTCTACAGGCACCACGTCACTCGCCTAAGGCAAGACTGGCATGCTTTCCGACTCATGGACGCTGATACTTCTACGGAATACTCCGCACACACCATTGTGATCAAGCCACCGATCCTCCCAAGAAATCCATATTGTGCGATGCCATTTTCAGATTCGACTTGGACACCAGGAGCTCGTCGTTCCAGCCGAGACTTGTTCCATCGAGAGCCTGCACGTAAGAATCTCCATCGTTGTCCTCAGCCCCACCCAAGTAATCCTGACGACGAGACTCGCAGTTAGGACATCTTCTCCAAGGCGACTCCCCTACATGGGACGCGCAAACCCATGTCGTGCACACGGGGCAGACACACCAACGAGGTATCATGGTGGTGTGCTCCTGGCGACAAATTGCACACCTGATGGATGCATTCAGTTGCAGCAAGGATGGCACTGCAGCTATTCGGGGTCGCGTGGAAAGTGGACGCTGTGGCCCGAAACCCCAAATAAATACTTGAGACAGCGCAGGAGCCAGCCTTTCATTCGGAGCCGTTACCGAAGCACGCAGAACACGTTGGTGATTGAGTCCAACCGAAAAAAATCTTGTGTTCCATCGGAGATGGAATCTGTTGCTTCGGTTTGCAATAAACTCGAAGCGGCTGGCTCGGGTGTAAGGTCTGGCTGGCCTGTTGTTCATGCCCAAAGACCAGAAAACTGGTGTCTGAAATATATTGTCAATTCGACAATAAAATCTGATTTCACCACGCCATTCCCTTACACCAACAACGAGTCCTCGCAGCTGTGCCGGCAAGACGATGTCGGAATCTGCGACGCCTAGCAGCGGCTGCATGGAATTGAAGCCGAACATCATGAACGGCGGTAGAGAAGGTCTGGGAATAGGTGTCGGTGTCCAGTTTAACCTGATGTTTGCTGGTATGATGAGGAACATACTCAACTGGTGAATATTCACGCAAACCCACCTGGCCCGTTTTAGCAAGTCTATCATGCTGCGGAGGCGAGCCGACACCAGAAGGTCTGGTTGATCGATGTCGA